GCCCCGTGAACATAAAGACAATACATACAGAGTTGGGAATCCGGGGAGCGGTAGTCAGATGCGCTGGAATGGGTACAAGACCAACTTTTGTTCCGCGCCGCCTTTGCCCTTGCCGAGGGCGACGTGGACACTGTGTTGCGGGTGCTGGAGATGGCGAAAGACTTATCATTTTACGAACTTTCATCGTGTAGCCTGGCTGTCCCAGCGAGCCGCGAAAACGTAATAACATCCGCAAAATATCATCTTTCGCAAATTTGCGTTTTTATGCATTAAAGCATAAACGTGAGAACGTAAATGCGAACGCAAAAACCAAGCCTGCCATCTACAAACACTGCGAGTACCAGATAAGGTCACGCCATTGTGCAGAACCGCACTACACAGTGCATTGGCATGCACTATACTGCACTACTGCACAATGTACCGCATTGCTATGCGCCCTTAAGGGCATTCCTATCCACCACGTGTGAGCCCTTGATACACAAGTCTGCCTGGAATCAGGGCTTTCTGCGCGTAACAACAGAGCTCACCTGGTTGGGCCACATGGTCTTCAGGTCCCAGTCGCCGCAGGTGCAGAAGATTGTGTTAGATGGCGACAGCCGGTTATCCGTCAAAAATTGAACGAATTGCGCGAAGACGACCTCAATTGTGTCCGCCTTCATCCACCCAGCATATGTAATTGTCAACGACATCGGTCTTCAGATCACGAACAGCACAGCACGTGCCATCAACAAATGAGAATCATCATCATGCAGATCATCTCGCACGAAATTGTTTCCCATGTTCATAAAGTGGCACTTAATGCCTTAAGAAGTCACCTGGAATGCTTGGCTTTGTTCGTGTTGCAGGAGACACTGGTAATATATGTGGCTGGACTCTCCACAACAATTGAATGATCTTGTCAAAGCCGCCACACTGATGCCCGGCTCCAATAGTCCGCGTAACAAGAATTACCCGTGGCATAGCTGTTTAAAGACAGGCAGCCCGCAAGCAATAGAGCATGGGCAATCGGCGCGTGGAGAAGAATACCGAGGTTCTCACCTTCACAAACAAGAAACAATAACGAGCTAGATTCTTGAAACGAAGGTAGCATTAGCCAACGACTACTGAACATAACATCAAGATTTCTTCAGGGAAGGCATCCAAGGCTGCATCAACTACAGACGGTTGAAAAATGCGATGGCTAAAGAGATGACAAGCGATTGTGACAGCCATTTGAGGCTGTCAGTTGAGACATTTTGGGGGTTTCTTTGAAGAATGAACGGCTGGAGTAGGTCTTCACCCAGGCAGGGACTTATTCGCCGCTAATCAAGCACGACCAGCAGCAGTAGAAAACAGCCTGTTTGCGATGCCAACTGCGGTGCGATTTGACACAAATTGATGCCATCGCACCCTCTTTTACACCATCGCAATCGCTGTGACGGCACCACTTTGTGTCAAAGTGGCATCGCAAGTGGCATTGCAAACATGACGTTTTCTAGTGATGCAGGCCTCTCCTTAGCTGATGTCCATTTGTGTCAGTTTATTTAACTTAAACGCTGGTTGCTTTGTCAGCGCCAGGGGGTCCACCCTGTGGCCCATCCCACCCCCCTCCCGGTTTCGATTTGAAGCTAAGCGTACAAAAGTCGAAATAGTGTGGTCTCTCAACAGTCCTGCCTCCCACAGGACATCCAGGGGGGGGGTGGACATTCAAAGTTGAGGTGCAAATGCGCCGCTCATCTACTGACAGGTGTGCATGATGATGGCATTTACCATGAGCACCATTGATCAGGATGCTGGGCAGAAGCTTTCAGATGCACCTGTTGATCGCATTCAGAGCCTGAGGTAATTTTCCAGATTTCGATGGTGATCCAAACAAATGCACTGCGCCGGAGGCCTGGTGCGGATTGAGCGGGAAGGTGCCCCTTGCTGCCCTGAAGCTCCTGAAGCTACCCTGACAGTTGCCTGAAGCCATGGAGAAACCAAAGGTGGCCTGCTTCGAAATGGCTTCCCCCCCACCCCTCCCGGCCCCCAAGCCAAGGTGACCCCGAAACACCCACACCCAGAGGGTGCCCCACCTGGTCCACCGTCTCCTGCCTGATGCCCGTCAGCTCGGTGCAGAACTCCGACAGCACCGGGTTGTGCACGGGCCGCACATACTTGTGGAACACTGGCGCATCGGCGACCTGCACGGCGGGACACCGGCCGTTTTGGAGGTCAGGCGTCACGGCGATCGACGGCTGTCGACGCCGGCCGGCATCACAATCGCGACAATCTTTCCAGGAGGGCTTTCTTCGCCACCCGTGGACGCTGGTCGAATGGCGAGCATCCCCCCTTTGGCGCCCCAGTGACATTTCCAAACCACCCTCGCCGCCCCCGGCACCGCCACTACGTGCATGCATCGACGAGGATATAGTGGATGCCATGTGCCATTCCCCATCCCCCCCATCGTCCAGCCTGCCCCCGCCCGTCGGGACGGCGCGACCGCACAAGGCCGCGCCGCAACCCGCCATCACCCGCAGGGCGTAGGGGCCCCGTGTTGCCTCGTGAAGGCAAATTCAAACAAGGGAAGTCATCCCGCGCCGAATCTGAGCCGGGGGGGACGCCCGGCCAACAGCCGCCGCTGTCCACGGTCGCCATATCCGGAATGCTCCCGATGTGCGCGCGTGCGCCAAAACCGCGCCACGGACAGAGCACTCGAACAGCCCCTCAGCAATGCCGTCGCCCGTCTTTGCAGCGAACGCTGATCGACTGAACAGGCGGCGGCCGTGGCCGTCGGACGGCCTAGAGAGATTCAGTGGGTCGTTCCCATCTGCCGGTGGCATTTCACCTCCTGGCCCCCACCACTGGCACAACAAAAGACAACAAAACAATGCACGAAAACAGGAACAAAATGAGCGCTCCTGCAACGCGGCGCGAAGCGACCGGCCCCGGGGAACCGGTCTCAAGCGGCGCTCCGAGCGTCCCCAAAGCAAAAGAGGCACCTTCATCGCCTCCGTGTCCACCAGCACCACGGGAAATTCGATGATCTCCTGCGTGAAGCCCTTGGGCGTCTTTTCGTGGCACGTGGCCTCGAAGTCCAGGATCGCCAGGTACCGCCTCGGCTGGCGCGGCGCACCCGACTCCCCGCCACCGGCCGGGGGCTGCTCCATGGGTCGGCGAGTTGAGCTAGTGCTGGCGTCGAGTGGAGTCCGAACGGCGAGGTGCGGGTGCGGGGTCGCGAGGCGCGGGTGGGGGTTTAAGTACAGTGCCCGAGAGTGGTTTTGATGCTGGGGTGCTTCGGGACTTCAGTCGTTGAGTACTACGGAATCGGGCATCGGACCCCCCCTCCACAACCGGACCAGACGGCACCTGGCGTATCGATGCACGCACATGCGCCGCAGATACGGGTATTCGCCGTAGGCTGCCGCCGTCGACGGGCCACGCTCCCCACCCCGCCTGGCACGCCGGGGCGCCCAGCGGCTCTCGGACTCTCGAGAGGCCCCCGGCGCCGTTTTACCGGACCCGATCCTGCCCCTTTCGGGTTCTCCGTTTTGATTCGCATCCAGGTGTCCGATCAACCTCCCAGGGAGTCCCTGCAGCGAGTCCCTGAGGCGCATTTTCGACAGGCTGCGCGCAATCCAACCGAGAGTGCGAGCTTGGCTCTGACGCTGCAAGGCGCACGCGGTCGTCGCGGGGCGCCGGTGACAAACAGCCAGCGCTGCGAGCTCTGCTGGTGGCGCATCTCTATCAGCAACCGCAGCCTTCAAGGAACGCCGCATATGTTGTGTTTTGTGCTCGCATCCTTACACCACTGTTCCTGAGTGAGTACTGCAAGCTTTCTAAAGCAAGAATATGTCACGCAGCTGAGGCCAACCTGCAAGTATCCGTCACACAAGCAATGGGAAGAAAAATTAACATGCACATGTGTGCACGCTGGATGGCCCAACAGCAAATCCGGTGCATGCGGCGGACTCGCGCCAACGGAGGCATTCGCTGATGTGCGGCGGCGTGGCGGGGCCAAGGATCGGCCGATTTCACGCCGAGGAGGAGGGATCCCGGGCCTGGGGCCGCGAAAGATGCGCATGGGGCAATTCGGGCTACCGGCAAGCGCCCGCGCGATGAGGGTCCCGGCGGCTGCCCCGTGCCCCGACCGGGAAGTCTGAGACGGCGGGGCACCACTGGGCGCGGCAGGAGGGGAAGGCGGGGGTGCACATGCGCCGCCGCGATGATGTTTAGCATCGATCGTCGATCTGGGAGGATGAGCAGGTTCAGGCGTCGGGAGCGCAGGCGTTGGGCTGGTCGGCTAGGCGGGCTGCGCCGCGGTCCGCGAGGGGGATGGGCCCGGTGCGTGCACGGCCAGGCGCCTTTGCCGGGGGACGGAGGCATAGCGGGGCCGGCGTGGTGGGCGCCTGGTCGGATGTGTCGCATCGGCCCGGCGCCAACTGCTGGATCGGCTACAAGTCTCAAGGGTAGGTGTATTAGTTCATCTGCCCCCATATCTGGGTTTGTGTGCTGGGGCGTGTTGCTGGGGTGGCCCTTTACCGTAGGTTGTCAGTACCCTTCCGCATCGGAAAATTTTACTGTTACGATTTTCGCTGCGCATTTTGTTTTTCAGAACGTTGCTTTTGTTATTTTTACGTTGCTCCGCGAACTTTTATTAAATGAACGTTGTTATTTTATTTTTTTGTTGAAAAAAGGCCAAGGGTCTCGTTACTATGCGGAAAGATTTAAGGTACACGCTTTTCGCTCGTATGCGTATTTTTGGGTATATATGGGTATGGGAGTACGGTAGGGAACAGCGAAGGCAATCCCCCTGGCTTTGTTGCGTCGCTCCGTTGTTGGGGGGGTGCGCCCCAGGCGCCCCACCGCCGCGAGCCCCCTGCGCTGGCCCACCCGGTCCGGGGATGATCTGCCTGTGGGCGGGGCCGCCCCGCCCGCTGGCATCCGGGGCCGAGGGAGGAGCGCGGAGGGCGGCGGCGGCGGCGGGCACATGCCGCCATGGCCGCGCGGCGGGCGCCGCGGCGGCCGGGCGGGGCGGCGGCATGACCCCGAGGCGATCGGCGCCGGCGCTCGGGCGCGGACCGGCGGAGGCGCGGCGGGGGATCCAGCCTCGGCAGCGAGTTGGATCGGGATCGGGGAGCCATGCCGGGTGAGAGCCGGAACGCCGGAGTGCCGGGGAGGGGGGGAAGAACGCGCCATGTTGGTTTGTGCCTCACGGCGCCGTGAAGGCTGCTTTCTGGGGCACCAGTGAATTCCCTCGCAGTTTTGGTCGTGAGCCATTGGAGGCGGATCGACCGTGGGGTCCTGGGAGGGCGGGGTTGAACACGTTGGCGCGCTGCAGGCCTGTCGTGCGCGCCGCAGCAGGCGATGATCCCCGCCGTGCGTAAATTGGATCCAAGGCCGGGGCAGCAGTCGCACGGCGGCCGGGAAGCAATGCGCGAACCCTTGTCGGCTCGCCTGCCGGCTCAGAATGCCTGCGGCCGCCTCAAAACCCTTTTTGCCGCCCCTGGCGATTCCCTTCCCGCGAGCTGGCCATCTGATCGTCCACCATGCATACCACGGTGCGCCGATCGCCTCCCACGGTGGCGACGCCGTAGCCGCCTTCGCTGCAGGAGATGGCTTGGCGGCCGTCGCCGGAGCGACCCTGAAGCACGGCGGCCTGCGGCCTTTGAATCTCATAATGCACTGCGGCACCCCGCCCTGTGCCCCCCCCCCCCCATCCACCCACCCGCCACCTTCTCCCCCAGTTGGGGTCTCGGCCCCTGGAGCCCCCACCCCTCGCGATCAAACGACCGCGAATCGGCTGATCCAGGAAGCAGCGGCATCATGCCGAGAAGGACTTATGCGATGCATGTCAGACACTAGCGCGCAGCCCCGCTCATTCCCGCAAGAGCGCGGAAGGCTGTCTTTTTCAAAGGGAAGCATGCTGAACGGTGGGGATCCCCTGCCAAACGGCGATCTTGTGAGGCAGGTACTGCAGGAGTTGAGGCCACTGACACTGGCTGGAACGGGAGGGGAAAAGGTCCTCCTACGTGGACTGGCTTACAGTCCAGAGCAGGAAAGCAGCATCCAGTTGTTTGACAGCGTGCCATCACCTGGATTTGTTGGATTGGCTCAAGTGATTTGACCCCAAAACGTGATGATTTGGGACATCAGTGACGTTTGGAAGCGCTGATCTGAAGGACTGCCTTGTTTGCTGCAGGGCCACAGAAGAGGACCTTGTGCACGACCGCGTGGTTGGCGTCCTCGGAGGAGGGCAGTTGGGAAGGATGCTTGCTTTGGAAGCGGTGTGTTGCTGCACACACACCAACAAAGAGAAAAGTTTTGCAAACCCTTATTGTACTGAAGGCGCTCGCTGTGGCACAGTAGAGAGTCTTGCCCACACAATGAAGCCGATGTGGAAGAAGAAGTGAGAGATAGATAGAATCGCGCGCAGCAGCAATCTGAGCACGTTTGGGCTCCTGCTGTGGGATCTGCTTCCCCTGCACAATTTTCAACCTCCAACTCCATGCTGCCAATGATGGGCACTGTGTGGGAGTTGATAGGCTTTGAGATTCCAATAGTTGGGCATGAGTATTGCATTCAGGTACCGTCCTTGGAGGAGATATGGCAGCCTAGCATAACATCACAATAAAATGTAAGGTGGCGGCAAGCCCAAGAGATTGTTCATATGAAAAATGAATCCTCAATGTCAAAGATTAGAAATTCAGTTGTCATGGGGGTGGGCCAGCAAACCAGAAATCAGATCAACTCACAAAGGCTCGTTTGTTCAAAGGGTGGGATGATGAAAGGCCCAAAGCATTGTTTGTGGGGATTGAATACTCAATCTTGGCAGTGGCCCAGCCACAACTTGCAGTCGTGCGCAATCCGACAAAGATGGAATTTGCGATCGTTTCCAGCGCCAAGTGGAAAATGTCATAAAAATGTGGAAGAAGGCGATGTTCTGCAGCACCCATCCTGCTCCCAAGCAAGACATTTTTTCAGCCTTTTCAATCCTGTAAAGGCGTGTGCCTTGAGGGTGCAAAAAGGAATGCATGCACCAGTGTCCATCAATGTGCGCACGTTGATCGCCAGGATTCTGTGCATTCACCAACTAACCTGTGATCAGTTGCTCACTTCGTAACTTTTGGGCGTGAAGAATTCATAAATTATTGGGAACGTTGTGACAAACAAGGCCCTTGCATCCTGCAGTTGATTGTATTCGCAGTTAAATCCAATCAGAATGTGTTCAAGGACCCAATATGTCTATTCTTTGCACCATTGTGATGCTATGACTTCTTTGACACTTTTTGACGAATGCCTCCACTGGACCATCTTGAGGGATGTAGTTCACACCGAATCTCTGCCCGTTTCCCAGGCCCGCATGGGAATCCAAATTAGGTTTCTGGATCCCACCGAAAATGCACCAGCAGCAGTGGCAGCGGAGCAGCTCGTTGGCAGCTTCCAAGATAGGGACAAGATCTTGGAATTCGCCCAGGGCTGTGACGTTGTGACTGTGGAGATCGAGCATGTGAACACGGCAGCACTCGAGGAGGTGCAGTCAGAGCTGGGAGTCAGTGTGCATCCAAGCCCAGAAACGCTGAGAATCATCCAGGTCAGTGCCAGGTTTTCGTCGCAAAAGCTCATTGACAGGATTGATCCAATTGACGCTTCACAGCTATGTTGCCAGTTGGTTGATTTCAGGTGAGGGTTTTTGGCCTGGTCAATGCAGATGCAAAGCCGGGAGTTTACCATGTCGAAAATGAAATCTCAGACCTGTGTCATGGGTTGAAGTCCCAGTTTCAAACATGATGCCCCAGAATCTCCGCATGCTTGAGCAGGAAGAAGCACCTTGTGTCCTGCAAGGTGGGCAGCGCTCTGCTCATCAAAGTGATCGACGGTTATGGTATCCAGTTCATCATGGTGTAGCCACCGCAGTTCGAGTTGTTGCATCAGTTGGTCCTGACACACCGTGTGATTTGACGATCTCTGTTCCTACGCATTGTTTGATCGAGAATGCACTCCAAGAGCAGCAATCGCTGTCTGTCAGCGTTTGGGACTACTAGAGCCCTGCAGAGACGTGCTGTGTGATCACCAGTACTGTCCGAATGTCGTGGCAAATACGAGGACAGATTGCTGTACCCTTTGCCGATTTGGTGGTGTCCCAAGAACGATTGTTGTGTCTACATCATGTGCACCAGTATGGTGAAAAGGACCTATTCGCTGACAGGTATGAAGGTGTTTAGAAACACAACAGAAAGTTGTGCATGCAAATCCGTTGGTGGCGACTTGCCATTTCTTGGGAAAATTCCTCATCCATTCACAACGCAGTGCACAGTAATTTTTTGTCCCACAGTCCTCCTGTGAGCAAAAACTAGAAACCTCCTATTCCAAAATTTCTCACTTCTACCCTGGGGGCTGGTGTTGCTCCACAGGGCCTCTGTGCCCCCAGTTAGCAGGTAGCTGACTTGTCCTTGTGGCCATGCAGGACAAGTTTGCTCAGAAGCAGCACCTCATGCAGCATGGCATCCCTGTAGTGCAGTGTATGGAGATTAACGACCTGAGTGACCTGCACAACGCCTGTGCCAAAGGCTACCCTGTGATGCTGAAAGCCAGGAGGTGAGTGCAATGTTCAGTCTTTTCTGGAGGCCGATTAGCTCGATTTCTGGTGTTAACACCAAACTGTACTTTTTGCAGCCTTGGTAGTTCAAAAAACCGCCGTTGGTAGCAGTTGTTGCACGATGATAATCAATGCTCTTGGACCTATTAAAGTGGTGTCGGGCCCTTGAGGGCGTGAGGGCCAGTGCTGGCCAGTTTTTTGCGATTGTGCGCAGCATGAGCGCATTGTCTTGATCGTTGAATGCTGCATTGAGTAACAAAATCGCCTAATACCCACCTGGGTAGATCCGTTTGACAGATCGCAGCATGTCCCTGGCTTCAATGTTGGGAAGGGACAAGACCAGGGAGTGCGTGAAAGTGCACCAGCAGTCTTTGCCAATACGCAAAGAGCCACCTTCCCATCAGTTCGTATATCTGCAAGTCCTGTCAGACGTCATGTCACCACCCCAACCTTGTCTTGGTCAAGTTGGCTGAAGAATCACCCCTTTACGTTTGCTCTCTGTCTAGGTTCGCGTCACCCCATTGGCCTGCAGTGTTTGATTCCAACTTCCACCAAAATGACACAGCAAACCCCATATCTGGTACACAACACACGAGGCCAAAAGACTTGAATATATTGGATATAAATTGAGTAGTGAAATGAATTTCTAGTGAATTGAATTGAATGCATTCCTTCCCACCCTTCTGATTTCAGTTTAGGCACGTGCCATAACGAGATCTGTTCTTTCACCTCGCAACCGTTTACCGTCTCCCGCAGGCTGGCCGCTGAGACAAAACAACACATGTGTTTGGAATTAAGCCCAACATCGCCTCCAAGGTGCGAGGGCCGTGTCTTGCCATATCTGACAAATGTAATTCAAGGATTGGAGCAGGCTGGCCTACGATGGCCGCGGCAACTACATCATCGGCGGCGCCAGCCAGCTGGACGAGGCCGTCGGGGCTCTGGGCGGATTCGAGGCCGGGCTGTACGCCGAGCAGTGGGTGCCCTTCGCCAAGGAGCTGGCGGTGATGGTCGCCCGCACGCGTGACGGCCGCGTGCTGCCCTTCCCCGTGGTGGAGACCATCCACCGGGAGAGCATCTGCTTCGTGACGGAGGCGCCCGCCGACGTGCCGCGGGAGGTTGCGGACGAGGCGCGGGACGTGGCGGAGAGGGCGGTGGGGTGTCTTGACGGCGCCGGCGTCTTTGGGTGAGTGATCGCGGCCTCACCCCCTCACCCCCCGCCCCGCGCGTCGCTTTCCGTGAGCCGCTTCTTGGGCGCAGCGGCTGTCCGGGGGGGCGTGGCCTCTGGGCCGTCAGGTCGCCAGCGCCGTGGGCCCTTATGCCCGGTATTAGAATCAAACAGGGGTCAATAGGGCGTGCGTTAACGACAAACGTCCAGTTAATGAGCCAAGTCGTTCGTTAATGACCGTTCTTACGACTTTACCCATCCCAATGACCTAGGGAGAGGCGGTTCCTCTTTTATGTAGGGGGGGTGCGCGCTCCTATTCCTATTTTTGGATTAGGAGTGTTCCGCTGGGTGCGCTGGGACAGAAGCCGTTCGTCGCGTGTGCCCGAACCCGGAAGGGTTGGGGCTGGGAGCGCGCCCCCGCCTCGAGACAAAGTACGTCAGGTCGGGCGTTGTACACGGACCCCGGCGCCAGTACAGCGCCACAGCACTAACAAATCCGGGGACAGACAAAGTACTGGTGCGCCGGCGTACGAGGGAAATCCTCCCGCTGATAAAGTACTGGGGCGCGCCCGCCTTTGACTGTCCCTGAGGCGACCCTCCCGGGATCCGTGCGCCGACTCGAGTTTTACCCCGTAACGGCGTCGTGGTCATAACGGCGGGCCCACGCCGCTCGCTCGCCTGTCTCCCGAGCGCCACGCCCCTTCACCCGCCTCGCCCCACTCCCCCCCTTTCTCCCTCCCCCCTTCCGCGCGCGTCCCCTCCCCCACCCCACCCCACCCCCGGTCTGGCAAACGGCAAAGCACCGGATCCCCTGAGAAATCGCGTCCCGTCCCTGAATCCCGTCCCGTCTCCCCGCCGCTCCTCCACGCAATCGCTGCCCCCCGGCCGGCCATCCCCATGCGCCCCGCCGCCGCCCCCCGCCGATCCCGCCGCCCCCGCCCCGCGCACCGCCCATCGATCGATCCGATCCCGCCGCTCGGCCGCCGCCGATCCCGGATCATGCCGATCTGCCGCCCGCCCATCGCGCGCGCGATGATTTCACGGCAGCCCATTCCACAGGGTCGAGCTGTTTTGGGTGGCATCCGGCGGGGTCATCGTCAACGAGATCGCGCCGCGGCCGCACAACTCCGGCCACTACACGATGGACGGCTGCCGCACCAGCCAGTTCGAGCAGCACCTGCGGGCGGTGCTGGGTTGGCAGCTGGGGGACCCGGGCATGGGCGCCGGCTGCGCGGTGATGTACAACCTGCTGGGCGAGGCGGAGGGGGAGGAGGGGCTGGCGCGGGCGCGGCGGGCGCTGGCCACGGCGCGCGGTCTGCCGGGGGCGGTGGCGCACTGGTACGGCAAGGAGGGCATCACCAAGAGGCGGAAGGTGGGCAGCAGGAGCGGCGGGAGCGGCTGAGCCCTTCGAATCGAGAGTGTCGATGTGTCGGGATGCGCGCCGTTGTCCGCCGGGTGGCTGCGTTTTTTGGCTCCGGCGCGGGTGTATCAATTTGGCCAGAATGGCACAAGGGGGCTCTCGAGGCCCCTGCCCCAGCCGCCACCACTTCCCTCCTGTTGTATTCTCCCCTGTTGACGAGTGTACCGTATTAATGATAGGGGAAAGCGAATTGCAATGAAAGCGCCGTAGTATATTTTACCATTCCGCATCAAGGGGCATCACCTCGTCAAATCGTCAGTGACCCTCGGCTCGACGGCCAATCGGTGTGGGCGTCCGATTGGTCCTGTCGCACCTTCACGCTTTGCCGCCTCCGATATGACAGCGATTTGGTTTGCCAGAACGTCGCCTGCCAAATTGTCGCCGACCCTACCCTTTTATTGTATATATAATACAAGGTTTATATATTAGGGTCTATTAGGGTTTTATATTAGGGTTATTATATTAGGGTTTGTGGGCGCTGGTGCGCGATGGGCGCCAGACCTAAACTACTTGAGAGACGGGCGTGTTGGCAGAAGGGAGGCATGTGGTATATTTCTTGTCTGTGGAGGCGCGTGACGTGTTGCCAGCTCTTGGGAATTGCTGCCGGCCGCGTTTCGGCCTGTTGGTCGATATCGGTTTGAGTGCGATGACAGTGTCGTGCAGAGCGAAATGCACATTGGGAATGCCGGCGGTGCTGACCATTACGGTCGTTGCAGTGGGCCATGGGATGCTGTGGGATCAAGATTGCAGTGGTGCCATGTGCTTGACGGCAAGTGCGCCGCCAGCGATCTCGAAGTTGCAGTAATTGGTGTCAATACCTCGTGCACACGAGCAGAAACGGAGGTTGAAAAGGCACCCAAGAGCGCATGTTTCAACGTTTTTCTGCAAGTATGGCCAGTGCGTTGCTTTTGCTCAGACCACACGACAGGTGGTCGCTGTTAACGAATGACGAACGGGATCATTGAATCGCAAGTGGTGAATGACTTGGACAATGTGCTCTGTCAAGACAAGGTGAATTTGGGAGCGTCGGAGTGGCAACACATCCCTAGAGAAACATCTGCAGTATACGATGTGGTCTCTATTTCGTGATGCTGTGCCAATGGCACAACTTTCTTTCATCGATTTTATGCAGTTAAAGGCAGGCCGACTTTCTGGGAAACGGTCACGTTTTTTTCTCCCTCAACTTCATGAGCATGGGTCAGCAGCCAGCACAGCGCATGGTGCATCCACTGGTCAGTTGGGCGCATCTACTCCTTGGTCTGCCTTGCGCATTTTGGAAGGTTATTTAAATGCAAGCTGTTTAAACCTTCTTATGAGCTTATTTAGACATAGGTTTGTTTCTGTTCACAAGGTCAGTGGGATACATAAGTTAGCAGAAGCCATGTAAAGAACGTTTAGCAGATCTTGCTAACCTTTGCATAGTGTCAGAGCTCACGATGTCTGCTGTGCCTTCCCTCTAGATAGGCCACATCAACATCGTGGGTGAGAGCCGTGAAGCTGTTCGTGAGCAACTCGCTACCCTGGACCAACTGGCAGCAAATGCGCTGCAGGCCACTGGTATCCAGCCACAGATGGCGAACGGACACCCCAACCAGCCTGTGGTATGTGACTCGGCTGTGAATGCCACCTTAGTGCTGTATCACTTAGGTGTTGTTGTGAGGCTCTGTTGTTGCTTATATGTTATGTTGAGGATGGTATTGCTGTGCTGTGCAGCCATTCTTTGGCTCCAGTTCAAATGATGCTCTCCATGGAGATGATCGTTGCAAATATATTGTGGCGTCTCAATCCCTACTGTTCTGGAACCGCACTTTAGCAGGAGCTCCAGGGCACAACAGCACAAAACTTCATGTGTGCATTTGATTGATGCTCTCCATTCGACGTGTATCAAAGGTGGGCATCATAATGGGTTCCGACTCCGACCTGCCAACGATGTCTCCTGCGGCAGACGTCCTTCAGGGGCAGTTTGGCATCCCTTGTGAGGTGAAGATCGTGTCAGCACACAGGACGCCCGAGAGGATGATGGAGTACGCGAAGAGCGCCCACATACGGGGCATCAAGGTCATAATCGCTGGGGCAGGTGTGTGCAAGTCCTTGAGGGACAGAGGTTTGTTGCATTTCCCAACGGCATCAAGGCATTGGCCAAGCATCAGCAAGTCGAGCAGAAATGCTCACACAAACTGTCCAGAATGCAACCTGCGTGCATGCCATCTCCCGAAACAAGTCCAGTCCCTGTTGGTGGCTGTTCATTGCCTATGTTGGATTCTTGCCACCACAACCAGAGCACAGTGCAGAGCCTGGAGGCCTAAACCTGTGGGCCACACAATGTGAGTTGATGTGCTATGAAGCTATTGTTGACGGGACTGGGGTTGCGCATGCTGCTGTGTCTCCATGTGTGCAAAATGTTTGACACATTGTAGATGCTCAGCGTTAAAGGTGAACGATTTTAGTCAAATTTTTTGGCAACCTGCCCTTGGCTCTCCTGCGGCCTGACGTCTTGACATTCTGTCAGCTGAGGTGACAATGTTGTTTGATCAGCACCTGACATGAAGTCATTGACTTTATCACACATCTCCTTTCTGCTTCAAAGGTGGTGCCGCACACCTGCCAGGCATGGTTGCTGCCATGACCCCCCTGCCAGTGATCGGCGTCCCAGTAACGCCAGAAGGAAGCCACCTGGATGGACTCGACGCCCTCATGTCGATCGTGCAAATGCCCAAGGGCGTGCCCGTAGCAACAGTGGCCATAGGCAATGCCACGAACGCAGGTGGGTACAGCCTCTCCTGTGATGCTGGTTGTATTCTATCCCGCTGTTTTCAAGTTTAGAAAGCCCCTTTTTGATTGCCTATCTGCTTATTCTCGAATGGTGACAAATAGAGAATCAGTACTTTGCTGGGATTCGATTTTGGTTCTGCAGCAAACGCGTGAGGCCACTGACTGCAACTCCTACCAGCACCGATTGTTTTGTGGTTTGTGCAATGAAAAATGTGCTTGACATACAGCCTGGCACTGTCAAGACCCCTGATGTGACAGATGTCCAAACAATCTGCTGCTTTGTCTTCTTTTTCTGCTGTCTTGGATGCTTCGCCCTCAATTTGCTCAAGACCGAAGTTTCAGCAGAGGATGGGTTCTAGAAACCTTTGCAGTGGTTTGCACCAGGATTGAACATGCCATGCCAATGGGGCCATCAGCCCTCCAGAGTGCATCAGAGGCCCCAAGAAATTCGCCCGCAAATTGGCTGCCCATTGTACATGGTCATTCTTGCAATTGCAGTGGCCTACTGCTGCATTGTTCAAACCTCTGGATTGTCATACATATACAGACACATACATCGGATTCCTGCTGCTCGGCCCACTGCCTTCGATGTATGCATCGATTGCCAAGCGTGTCAAAGTCAGACCTCGCCAATTTCTGTGTGCCTGTCTGTGTCCATATCCAAGGTCTGTTGGCTGTTCGCATTCCTGCTTTTCTGAGCTATTGCATCTACGAGTGCATACATTGATTGTAGAATGAGAATGAGACTGTTGAATTGAGATTCAAACGCATGGCGCTGTGTGCCGCCAGGCCTGTTGGCGATCCGAATCTTGGCAGCTCACGACCAAGGGCTGATCAACTCCATGATGGAGTACCAGGAGGGCATGAAGCAGATAGTCACAGAAAAGGCAATCAGGTTAGAGGAAGTGGGCTGGAAGAACTATGAGAGGCAGTAGAGTATGAATGGACGCAGGTGATGGAATGACTGCAAGAGGCAGCATACCCTGAACTGACTTGATGGAAGGACTGCAGGGTGTGATAACAGGCGGACCTGCACTGGAAGGATAACAGGAACAGAAGGGCGGCGGGCGCCAACTGTTGAGGGACCGCAGGGAGGAGTAGGCATTGGTGGAAGAACTACAAGGGAGCGTAGACCCGTTTGCAAAGACTGGGGAGCAATGGACCTGTGGCTAAAGCACTACAAGGAGCAGTGGACCTTCGGCGAAAGTGCTGGAGGAGCAGTGGGCCTGTGGCGAAAGTATTAAGGGAGTAGTGGAGCTGTGGCGGAAGGGCAGGTGGAGGGCGTGGAACAATGGTGGAAGTTCCAGAAGGCGCTGCAGACCTGAGCGGGCGGGGCAGGTTTCGAGTGGACATGGGGGATGGGGGCAGGACGCCAGGCGGTGGGATCCGCAAGTGAGTGGATGCTGCTTGGACGTGCATGTTGCGGTACGCACATGTGAAGCGCTGTGGTGCTTTAGGCGCATGTGCCGAGCCTCTTGGCTGTCGCTGGCTCAACAGATTGAAGGTTCGCGAAGAGGTAGTGCCCTTTGGGGCTCATTGCCTGGACAGGGCTGCAGATGGCCGCTGTAGAAATGGCCCAGGAGGGCAACCGCTGTTTTTCTTGTCGGCTGGCTTGTCTTCCCACGGTTCCTAGGTTTGTGGGGCACTGCGGCCTCATCTCGTTGGCGGTTGTGTCGGTCTGGGTTAAGGGATGGGACGCTGGGCCTGCAGAACCGTCATTTGTGAGAGGTTGTAGTGGCTGGAACGGGCAGGGCCCTGCACGGAGTGGCAGGAATGGGTTGACAGCTTTTTTAAGGCTTTCTTATGGACTTCCTTGTTTTCCATATGCGGTGCGCAACAGGAACGCTGCACGTGGCTTCCTTGCCAATCAATCGCGGTTTAGCGCACAAAACTACATGTGCATTGTGCTGGCAAGCTGGCATTGCAACCCTTGCTGTGCAGCAAGTGCTGAGGTACCAGCATGCCGGCACAATGTGCGTGCATACGTTACACAAATATGCAGCTGGGATGGAGCGCGAAGGGGCGCGATGCTCTCAGTTTTGGCACCCCTGGATGCCTCCCTTGGTCAACTCGCGCAGCCAGGAAAAAACAGCTCCAAGTGCATGCCCCGATTGACATCGAATGTTGTACATCGAGTCCCTTCTAATTCAATGCGATCCCAACGTCTATGCAGACTGCCTGAAATACGTCAGAAGTAGGTTGCATATCCAGGATATGGCCGTGTCCCAATATACGGGCGCCCATATCTTGGGGTCCCTTGTATCCTACTCCTTATCCTGGAGATGGGAATTTTCGCCGAGGCAATGGAATCAGTGGCTCTCTGCTGCTGGGAAGTGTCTCCATTGTTGGCGATCTGAGCAACAAAAATTCGAGATTCGTGCTCACACAACTCGAAGCAATGCCGACGTGTCAAGCAGGATACCAGTGGGCTCGCGACATGGAAAACGCCACCGAGAAAACAAAGGCGCCCAGGCGCCCAGATTGACGCATAGCCAATGGCATGCGGGAACGAACAAGCCCCGTGAGAGGGCACGTAGCACGCACAGGAAAGCCACTTCTGCCATTCCAACCCATTCTACAACTTTACAATTCTACAGCCCAAAATCCAGGCCGCCTCAAGCGTTCGCAGCACGACAGCGACTGCTGGCGCCCATCAACAGCTGGGCGTCATCAGCGCCCGTGTTCGGTGAATGACAAAGTACAGGGCAATTGTGATGCTGTTTGGGTTGCCAAACCCCCGTGATGGAAAATACATTTGCCAGAAAGCGTGTGTCCTGAGCAGCGAGCGCTGCTATCTGCCAGAGAACACCGTTTCGGAGACAAGTGGCGCAAGCTTAGTACTTTATGACACTGTGTAGTACCGCGTAGAACTGCGCATTTCTTGGAGGCGCCCCTCGCCGTCGAGGGGCCCCGGCCTGGGCGCCTCCGGCATCCTGTTCGTTATTCTCCAACCCAAAATTCTAAATCTACTCCCCAAGCCACAAGCCACCGCCTTCCAGTTTCTTGATCGCGACCCCATCTTGATGGACTGCGTGTCGGTGGCCAGTCCCCGCGAAAGCGCAAAAGCGGAAAACCGGCACGGCCCCACAAGGGCCTCCTATCGGCGCAATCCCCAACGGATGTAGTTGAATCTGCCGTCTAAATAATAGTAATCCGATGTTTAATCTGGACGCTGCAACACCCACCGCCCCCCTCAGCAACAGGAACGACTCGCGAATCGCTAGCGAGGCCGCCGCACAGGGGGACCTCCGCGATCACGTCCTCGACAATCACGCTATGATGACGTCATCTTCGATCAACATGCAACAACACGTCATCGACGATCAACGCCCTACCCGGCAGGAGCCATCAGTTGCCTCTCTCGGTAGCCTCGGTCGAGCCCAAGGATCCGTGGCGAAGCTTCCACACAAGGTTACCGTGCCCACTCATAAGGACGTCATCGACGATCGGCGCCGTCCCTGGCGGGAGTAATCCTCTGCCCTCCCTTAGATCACCGAGACTGGGCTCAAGGATCTGTGGCGAAGCTTCTACACAATGAAATCACCTCGTCCATGAAGGCTTCAAACGCCGCATCCCTGTCCAGGCAGTCCAGGGACGGGGACTGGGGGCCGCTGGCCAGGAGGGAGGTGCAGTTCGGCGCCGCGAAGTCCAGGGCACTGTTCGCACAGGCAGTGGCGGTGACGTTCTGGCACACCTCTTCAGGGCTGCCGACCAGGGACTCTGCGGACAGATTATCACTCGCAGTTGGTCAATTCTGCACTTCGCAACTCGCTCCAGGTCGAGCATGGAGATGTGCGGGCAACGCACGGCGTTGACGAAGGCAGGTCTGACAACTGTGTCAGTTGTTTTGACTTGGTGTCGAATTGATAGATTACTTGTTGTTGTGCGAATAGAAAACTTCAAATGCCTGGACACAGCGTTGATTGGGCGTGGTTCCAAGACGGTGCAGACAGACCTGCCCGATCAGCAGATCTGCCCGATGCTTTGCTGTTCAAGGGCAATATTTTACTACAGTACCGCAACCAAAGAAGCCCCCTGAATTTTTGCTGCACTTTGCCAGAGTTCAATCCTTCAGTGTGCCAGGAGAAAGCACGCCATCTCACCTTCCAACTCCACTGGTGGCGGCAGCTCTGCACCGTTGTCGTCAGCCCTGCTGCAGTTCGCCAGAAGATCAAAGCAAACCGTAGCTGCAACTTCCTCAGCGATCTTAATGCCATCCTCCCTGCACTCCATGTTCATGATGGTCGACGAATCTGTCAAAGCCACAGAGGCGCTGCAGTGCCTGATGCTCCATGCAGCTTTGCAAGCCGCAGAAATTGAGCAGCACAGCCGCGAGCACTGGGACACACTCGCCACGTGAGTACACAAGTGCTAGCGATCAAAAGCTTTGCTTGCTGCTGGAAATGGGTACCCATTTACAGCAGCACACAAAGCATCTGATTGCTGGCACTTGTATACTAAGGCACACAATTGCCACTGCCAAGCAAGAAGTCGCATTGACTTCTTGTATGTTTATGATATGCCTTTCTGGAAACGTGAGTGCAATGCCAATGCTCTTTGCACTACGATAAACGACAAATGAGCTCAATGTTATAAGCACTGAAGTCCGAGCTTGTAATAAGCACTGAATAATACTTGAAAGCATCCACGAACACTATGACAAGCAGGTGATAAATGGTGTGGTCCTGGCTGAGTCATGATTAAGCCACGATTAAGCTATCAGTTCTGTTTCCACTCTGAAAAGGTGCTGTGTGAAGCATGTGCCGATGGGCAGTCTCCTGTGAGGGTATTCGAACATTTCTGTTTCAACAAGCAGAAGGTCTTGAACGACAAAAATGAAAAGAATGGCCCAAAGGACGCAATAGAAATGAACGCAGAACTTGCAAATGCCTAATGCACGCACCAGCATCTCTGCCTGGTGCTGCGGTTGGCGAAGATGCGCTCTCGTTTCCGGGACTGCTGGACTGGCCTGCTGGCGATGGCGCCATTGCCATGCTCTCATTGCCGGGATTGCTGAGCTGAGCCCCTGGTGATGGTGCCATTTCTGTGCTTGGAGTCGTTAGCTCTGGAACTTGGGATCCATCCTCCATTTCCATGGATGCATTCATTGATGTATTCATGGATGAATTCATCGACAAATTTGAACCCATCGCTTCAACCGACCCGTTCACTCCCATGGCTGGAGCTGCTGCCTCCTCTGATGCTGCCGGCTCCTGAGCCATCTCAGGCACACTTGAATTCGAATCGGGAGATGGCGCCCCAGCAAAGGCCATGATTTCAATGGGGATCGAACTGGGAGTTTGTGCGCCCACCTTGCCTGCTTCCCCCTGTTCTGAACTGGCTGGCTCGGCTGCCGGCTCGGCTGCCGGCTCAGCAGCTGGCTCGCCTGCCGGCTCGGCTGCCTGCTCGACTGCCAGTTCGACTGCCGGCTCAGCTGCCAGCTTGACTGCTGGCTCGGCTGCTGGCTCGACTGCCGGCTCGGCCGATGAATTTGCCGTCGGCTCGGAGGAAGACCCCATAGATACACCAGAGTTGACAGGTGCAATTGCTGCCGCTGTCCCTGATGGCCCTGCTGCCACACCGCCCCCCCCACTTGACGCCCCCAGTGTCTGGGGGGCTGCGTTGCCATCTGCTGCAGCAGGCGACGAACCACCTACAGGGGAAGACGCTGGGGCTGGGACACCTTCCAGGGTGGGTGGCACTGCGCCATCAGTCCCTGGAGCTGATGCATTCGCTGCCGGTGAAAGACTGGCCTGATTGCTGACGATGCCGACAGCCGGCATCGGTTCCGCAACTGTGGGTTGCGCTGCTTCTGGGGCAAGCTGTCGCACAAGGGGCTCTTCATCGGACACGTCAGGAACAGGGGCAGGCATTGGGGCCTTGGCGTCACCAGTCCTTTTCGCCGCTGCACTTGGGGCCACTGCCATTGGGGCCA